GAGAACTTGCAAAATCGCAGGGTGTTCAAATACTTCTGTTCCTCACTGTATACATCATTTGAAAGTCTCTCTTGATTCTTGTCACTTTATCACAATTTGTTAACACGGTGGGAGCCAGTCAATATTGTAAAAGTCTTTGGAAGGATCAGTGGGGATTTTTTTGCAGAATTTGAGAGGAAAATGTTACTATAATATTGTCTGTGTTCATAAATGCATTTTTGACATAACTTTGGCAAACTGGAAAAAAACAAATGCTATAAAAATATATCTTGTGTGTGTTCCTCTGGCTTCTCTCCCTGCTGAAGTAAATGAAGGTGTTGTGGGTTCAAAAATGCATATTTCAGGTAGTGTTGTTAATAAGAGACTAAGCTTGTGAGAGCATCTTTTGATTAGTACCAGATTAAATTCATCACACTGAGTCAGACAAATTTATTATCATTATGTTAAATATCTGAATCTGCTGGACGAGGTGAATCGAGGCGCTGCTGGATTACATCATCTCAGAGCATCATGGGGATTTTCCGGCGCCTTTCGTTGTAAAAAGTGAGCTGGTTTTTCTGACTGACTGCTCATAGGAGGAGGAGGAGGGTGGGGCGTGTTCCTCCTCCTCCTCCTCCTCCCCCCTCCTCCTGGCCGCCGCAGCAGACCGAGGTGACGGTGTTTATACCTGAGGACGGAACTCTACCTGGCGTCTCTCCCGACACAGCACCATGGGGAACTCTGCGTCCAGTCTGCTGGATGGAAACAAATGCGACTTCATCAAAGGTAAAAACGGCCAAACACGAGGATTCACTCCTGGAGCGCGTTTGGAGCGACGCGGCCAGGACGCGCCGCTCTCTCCGCGTTTCCTTTAACGCAGAGGAAACCTCGGGCTGTTTCTTTTGGGGTTTTTACAAGAATCTTGCACTTTTCGTGCCATGTGCTGCTACGAAGCTTCACGTCTGATTGTTAGTGACACTAAAATGAATCAAGGACGCGCGCTTTGTTCTTTGCGCTTCAGGGGACTTGGCGAATTTCTGTTTCTGTCCTGATTAATTGGAAACAGTTGTCATTTCTCAGCTTAACTGTCATCACGCAGTTTTCGCTCAGCTGAGAGGAAATGCAGCCGATTCTTTTGAGTTCAGCTTGTTTCAGAGATCTGAAGCTCAGGAACCTGTCCAGCTGGTTCAGGCGTTTCCACAGACATGTCCTAGGTTTAATGTCGTTTTGTTCCAGTGAGGAAGAGCTTTAATGCTGCTTTCGGTCTTTTCCACTCCGTTATCTGTGGACTAATCAGGTCTCTCCAGCCTTTCCAGTCCTGTAGTGACAGGGTGTCTGTTTCCCCTCCCGTCTCCTGTGCTGCTGGGTGTGTCCCTGTTGGATGTGTAGTGAGGACAAAAGATACGGGCTGGTTTTGTTCACAAACTAATGTGCCCACAGTCCAAATCACACAAATATTTGAGAAGGAATTTCTTCTAATGCAGGCGGTGATGATGTACTCAGGGACATTATCCTGCAAATCCACATGATAAAGATGAATCAGGGCTGGTGTGTTGACAAATGCATCTTCATGTAATCCAGGACCAGAGCCAGCTTTACTGAGGCCCTGTGCTGGTTTTGGTACTTTGTTTGGTGCCTCTCAGCAGAAAAGCTGTCGGCTTTCCTCTGGCACTAAAGGACCACACGTATGACTGCCAGAGTAGTTGTTGACCTTGCTGCAGTCAGGATTACAGACTTGGACCAGTGTTCTCTGTCGGAGCCTGGTAAATCATTCAACAAGTGTGTTGACCCAGTGCGCCGGGTCCCGGCCACGGTGGGGCCTCCTTGAAGCTCAAACAGCACATAACTTGTCTGCAGGTCGCCAAATGTTTTCGGTGGTTATCTTGTCACATAGTGTCCGAGGCTGTCTCTTATTGATTAGTGTCAGTTTTATAGATCAGTGTAGCAAACCTTAGAAAATGAGGTCAACCACAGATTTTATGCTTAGTTGGGGCTATTTATCAGTACTGAGGGATGGAATAGATTTGAGGATATTTTTGTTAGATTGATAGAAAATTGAATTTGCTATATTTTCAAATTTATTTTATGGCGACTTTGTCTTTCTTTTGTAGCTGTGGTTGTAAAGTGACAAGTAATGAGAGGGACAAAGAGCCATAGGTGCTTTGGTTTATGGTCAGCACCCTGACTCCTCAGTCACCTTCCCGAGGTTCAGTGTGTGTGTGTGTGTGTGTGTTCGTTCTCAGGCTGGGTCACATGACCAACACCCAGGGCAAGACTCCTTAAACCCAGTTTTTGCAAACCAACAAACTAAAGGTGGAAAGCATAATCATAAAGAACAAAGATGAGACTCGGTAACGATGATAAAGTGCAGAACAGCCTTTAGAAAATAAACAGTGTTTTACCTAAAAGTAATTCTCAGTGAAAATACCATAAGTGTTGTCATTGACACTGGTTTGTTGGCTCTGCTGTTGCCGTGGATACAGGACACAATCCCATGTGTTCATACTGGGAATGAAAGATAAAAATATTGCTCCTGTGGCACCTGCTTGCTTCTGTCAATAACACAGTGTATATGTTGAAGGTCGGAGGAAACCAGCTCTCAGCCGCTTGTTTAATGGCGTCCTGCAAGAGCTCTGTGTGCCCTGCAGCTTGTGGCCTCGGTCGTCAGGCTTCAGGCTTGTCAGTTTTTCCTGGCTGCCATCACATGGAGGCCTGACTACTACTCTGGGGCTGAATCAGTGACCGTGCAGCCACTGCTCATAGTGAAAACATCCCTCAGATGCCCTGTGGGTGGGTATGGGAGAGCTTGCTGTTGGTGCACTGAGTGCAGATGGAAGAAGTGAACCCACTACGCTACTGTGACTCATGAGCTGAGTGTGGTTCTCCGCACAGTGAAGCAGGTTTTCAAACTGATGTCATTGGTCCCCTTGTGTCTGTGTTTGGGCTGAGCACTGTAGAGAAATGTAACTTTCTCTATCTCTGACAGTATGTTTGGTTTTTACTGTCTCTCCCAAACCCTTCCCTTGAAGTTGGTTGGGAGTCAGACTGAGGATTCAGGTTGCAGTGACATGCTCTGCAGTCACCTAGTGTGTTGGTGTCTGCAGTTCTTCCTCATGTAGCTGATTGATATGTGTGTG